ACAATAGACAATGTAATGACTTCTAGTGTAACATTAAAAGATTGATACTTTTTATCTTGTGTATTCATCAATGGATCTGGTGTAATGTATCAGATAATGTAGGCTACACTGACCCTTAATTTTGATTTTTAGTTTAATGTGCATTACTTAAATAATTTTTCAAAAGAACGGACCGCACTGCGTGCAAGCAGTATCAAATGCAAAGCCATTGGCTGAATCAGTTACTATAACTCTAGCCTTCCAGCAGAGCCTATATTCAGGCTACACTTTTATTATATAGTCTTCTTCAAAAGACTCAGTTTAGGTAATATTTTGAAATGATTCAAGTGCAGTTCCTCATTTATTGCAGTAAATGCATCTGCTCATGTTCAGATGCATGGTATAGGTGTTCCCTGTACTATGTACTGCTCATGCTCAGATGCATGGTATAGGTGTTCCCAGTACTGTGTACTGCTCGTACTCAGATGCATGGTATAGGTGTTCCCAGTACTGTGTACTGCTCATGATCAGATGCATGGTATAAATGTTCCCAGTATTGTGTACTGCTCATGCTCAGATGCATGGTATAGGTGTTCCCAGTACTGTGTACTGCTAATGCTCAGATGCATGGTATAGGTGTTCCCTGTACTGTGTACTGCTCATGTTCAGATGCATGGTATAGGTGTTCCCAGTACTGTATACTGCTCATGCTCAGATGCATGGTATAGGTGTTCCCAGTACTGTATACTGCTCATGATCAGATGCATGCATGGTATAAATGTTCCCAGTATTGTGTACTGCTCATGCTCAGATGCATGGTATAGGTGTTCCCAGTACTGTGTACTGCTCATGCTCAGACGCATTGTATAGGTGTTCCCAGTACTGTATACTGCTCATGTTCTGATCACTTGAATAAAGGAATGAAGCTACTTCAAATCAGGATTGGTAGGACTAGGTGTGGTTATTGATGATGATCCTTCCAATATTGTATCAACTTCAAAATCATCAATAGTTATATATTAGGATTGTTCCTAGTAAAATTGTATTGAGTAGATGAACCATTAATATTGCTGTCGGTAACTAGAACTTTATAATACTTTATACATTGTTGGTTCTGTTGATTAGAATGAACTAAAAATTACAAAAGAATATACACTATATACCTATGACATCATAATGAAAGACAGAGAGAGAGAATACAAGATAGAGTTAATTGTTTCACAATACATTATACTAAAGTATGTCCATTCTATACTACTGGAGACAGGGAGGATTGATGTCTTTGTGTTGGTTTCAAGGTTTTGGTTTTGGTGGTATTGGAGGAAGAATATCCAGACCACCTAACCTATTTCATGATCAGCTCTTGAGTAGTGAACTTCCTCTGGAGGAGAGGGGGAGAGAGAGGGAGAGGGGAGAGAGATAAAGGGTGTGTTACTCCATACAGTATAATGTGCATTGGCTTACATTTCAATTGACTGCATTTCAATTTCAATTGATTACATTAAAAGCTAAAAGGATGTACTCAATTCACCCATTACCCTCTTCCCTTCCTTTTTATGATACAATACATTATGTACATGTAGTTCATTAAATCCAATACATTATGTACATGTAGTTCATTAAACCCAATACATTATGTACATGTAGTTCATTAAACCCAATACATTATGTACATGTAGTTCATTAAACCTAATACATTATGTACATGTAGTTCATTAAACCCAATACATTATGTACATGTAGTTCATTAAACCCAATACATTATGTACATGTAGTTCATTAAACCCAATACATTATGTCAAGAGTAGATTATGTACATGTATCCATACCTGGTTGTTGGTGTTTTTATTAATGGTTGAATATAGTCCAGTAGCACCAGTAGACAGACCCTGTTGACCCTTATTCTATTAATAATACATTATATGATCCATTTTTAAAAGACTCTCTCATTAATCACTCACCTCTCCCTCTCTCTTCAATACAGAGTATTCCTGTACTCCCTCAGGATTATAGGCAGGAGGGACAGGAGGAGGAGTATCATCGTCTTCATTGAGTGTTGAATAAAGTGGACCAGCTCCTTGTTGTTGTTGTTGTTTATTCTTCTTCTATTATACATTATTGTTATTGTATGTCTGGTATTTTGTTTATTATACCTCTCCCTCTCTCTTCAGTTAAGAGTATTCTTGTACTCCATTAGGATTATAGGCTGGTACTGGTGGGGGAGTATCATCATCATCACTAGCTCTAAGAACACTGTATTGACCTAGTGAATATTGTATTATTAATAATAATGTATATATAATTACTGAGTCTATACTTAATACTGATCACTATAAAGCATGTACTTAAGCACATTGCCTATTATGTCCTCTTGTCTATCATGTGCTAGTTCATTGTATCTTACAGTCAAACATATGATTACCCTGTGTAGGCTGTTGTCAGCTTATTGTGTGGTACATGTATACACATATGGTTCATGTCATGACAGGTAGAGGAAGGTTAATGTTATTCTTGCTAATGTACACTAAATGATGACTGGATGTAACTATGTGCTTGGTATATAATGGTGTATTTGAATTGATTTAGTTATTACAGTAACGTGATGTGTGTAAGAATGTCATTGTGTAGTATATCAAACACCTTTCTTAAGTAACCTGTATGTACAACATGTACGGTTAAACTTTGAACTGCTACTTAACATCAAGAGAACATACTTAACATGTATATGTACTTTTCAGTATACATGCTTTTTGTCTAAAACTTGGCTCGAAAATTACTCCCAATTTTTACTACATTTTTTTATGCATATGTCCTTATGCTCTGTAAACAATTTGAGCTTAATTTGACTCAAACTTTTTGAGTTATGGCCATTTAAAAATGAACTAAAATGTACATAAAATTCTTACCAGTAGGAGGAGGTGGTAGGTAAGAAGGTGGTCCATCTCTTCTTTGTAGTGTCCTTACAGTAGAAGCAGCTGCTGGAGTATATTCAGTGGTAGGAGTAGCATAAGTAGGATCAGTAGGTTGTAACTAATGAAAGAAACACAACAGCATATAATGACTGGGATCAGTCTACAGTAGTTATATAATGAATGGCATCATTTCAGTGTACAGTAGTTATAACTATAATGAATAATAGGGTCAGTACACAGTAGTTATATAATGAATGGAGTCAGTCTATAGTATAGTTATATAATGAAGGATTAGAACCGAAAGGAGTTCTATCCGTCTCTCATTAATAAACAAGGATCATTATTATTAATTTACTTCAATAGTATTGTTTCTGTATGAACTACCAGTTATTCCTTTAGTCTGTGGAGGATATTAGTTATGAAAGGTTTATAATTATGGATATTCTTTACCTTTACCTCATTTCCATTGCCGTTTGCTGTATGACTATTAAGAGAAGACTAATTAATAATTATTATATATTTAACTTAACATTTCTTTGTTCTTTATTCCTATAGAACTGAAGTTAATCAATTATTAATTACACTAATACGCTTACTGTGTCTTTTAGTATACACCAGTATTATTACTAATACAATAATAATAATTATTATTGTAATTACAACTGCTACAATAGCTCCTGATATAATAGGAACAGCATTAGAACCAGCAGCAGTAGTTGATACAGTTGTTGATGGTGAAACTGGTGTACTCATAGCAGTGGTATCAGTTGATGTACCAGTAGCTGAAATATAAGAAGATGATTGTTCATTAATAGTTGAAGATACTGTAACCATAGGGGTAGGAACAGGGGGGGCAGGAGGGGCTTAAGCCCCCCCAACTTTCATTGAAGGGGGGCTTAGCCCCTCCAACTTTAAGTGATATACACGTATTACTATTATCAACACTATAGACTTTAGTTTAGGTAATCCTTAAACATGTGTATGTGTGCATATTGTGTGATGATTCGTTTTATAAACATTTAATACACTATCTTAACTTCTAAGAACACACACTCTTATTATTATTTTCAGAAATACACAAGGTTCTACTTTTTTATTTACCAACTCTGTTAACATCAGCTTCAGCTAAGCATAGATTTTTGACATTAAGGACATTAAAAAACTACTTGCACTCCACAATGTCACAAGAGCATCTTAATCATGTAGTTATTTTGCATACACACAAAGACAGATGATTTACACATTGAGGACATTGCAAAGGAACTTGTTACATTTAATGAGCTTAGATGCCAATATTTTGGACAGTATTAATTTTAGTACATGCCATGTATTAATGATCCATTGTTAAATCATGCTCCTATGATTGTATATAAATAATACCTTAGCCCCCCCAACTTTTAGTTTGTTCCTACCCCTATGACTGTAACTATTATCATATTAATTTAATCAATGGTAAACATTAGCTTTAACTTACTTAAAGTAGATGATGTAATTATTACTGATGTACTGGTACTTATATTAGTAGTTAATGTAACTGATAATATACAATATTATGCATGTTTTAGTAAATAATGTATTAATTATACAGACCTGATGATGATACAGTAGTAGTAGGACTCATTATAATTGAAGTAGCTAATGGTCCTTGCCCAATAACATTAACAGGAATAATAGTAACAGTGTAGTTTGTATCAGTAAGAGGTAGTCCAGCAATAGTAATATTAGTATCATTAGTATTGCTATTGTATATAATACTGTTTGATGTATTGTATACAGTAATAATGTAATACTGAGTAGGAGGAACTGGTATAGTGGAATAATTCTAAGTAATTATCAATAATATCTATTGAATTTAATATTTTTATCACATACTTCAGTCCACCATATTGTAATACTATCAGTTGATATCTGATCCCAACTAACATTAACAACTTGAGCTGGTACTATAAGAAATACAATGAGTGTGTGTGTGTGTGTGTATAGTACTTACCGTTCCATATATACTGTATTAATGATGAAGGAGCTGGTCCTTCTCTTCCAATAGTATCAATAGGAATAATAATAAATGAATAATTAGTACTAATGATAAGATCATCCATTGTTATATTAGTGTTGTCAGAAGTCCTGGATTCATTATGAGTATTGTTACTAATAATAGTAACAGTATAGTGGACTATACATGGCTCTGATAGATTCCAGTTAATAATTACTGTATCATTAGTGATAGGAATAATAGTTACATTAGTAACTCCTGTTAGACCTGCAAGTTATAAGAAATTAGTATTATACATAAATTCATGAAAATTAATTATTTCATACATACCTGCTATGTTGATAGTTAATGAAGCATAGTTCATTCCATCAGGTGAACAACTAATATTAGTTCCATTCAATTCTACTGAAGCTGCTGATTTACTTGTAGCAGTACTAACTAGCTCTCCTGTTGTATTATTGTAATATGCAACATTTAATGTGAAATCAGGAAATGTATCAGCAGTAATTTTATTCAGTTCTATACCCACAGTCATTCCATTTCTCCCCCATAGTGCTGTTGGTTCAGGTACATTATCCACTTTACAAGTGATCACTAGTGTATCTCCAGGGCACACAACAGGATAGGGAGTCTGTCTCAATGAAATTGAGCTATTAGAGCCTCCTGATGATGAAACTTCTATGCCGCCTTAGAATAAAAATAAGATGATAATAATTCATATCAAATTGACTTACAGAGGTTTAAACAAACAGTGAGTAAACTGAACCAAATCATAGCTGCAGCTTCCAGTCAATGAACCTCGCAATGTACTGACCATAGATATATTCATGCATGCACTGACTGATTTTTGTGCTATGGTCTACGTCGTGCTATAATAGGTCTAATACGGTAGTTATTAGGACACACCCACGGAATACACAGCTGGCAAGTGGCAACTGCAATCTCGGCTGCAAATTTAAAATTATGATGTGTTGGAAATTTTCTGGGCTCTTTCTTTATGCCAGCTTAACCCTTGTTTCTTCTGTCTCAGGTATTTTGTTGTACTAGTTGGTCTTTAAAAATAGTTTTTTTAGTTGTTTTAAGTCCCGGGCCAAGTACCCTATGTTTGGGAGAGACGGGACCTTGCCGACGTACCTTCACATGTGATGTGACGGAACCATACTTGGTTTGGACTTATACTGGGTATTCTACGATTCTTTTTAGTACTACTGCTACCGGTACACGTTCATTTGGTCGATTTGTTGAAGTTCAACTTCTTTCAATTTATAATGGAGTCTTGCGTTCTATGGCTACAGTAAATGTCACCAAAGATATCAATAGTACATCACTTCAGTGTAGGAATCAAATTATATACACAGGCAGTGTTAATGAAGAAGTTGATTTCTCTGTAGAAGGTAATACTACTAACTTTTTACTAGTTTTTGTCATAGCCATATAGATTTCTTGTCATAGATTATTGTGGTTATGCACCAACTCTGCTGCTAGCTAGGCTGTTTTTACTGACCTGGGGGCAAAGCCTAGGGGTGTGTGGATTATGCTAGCATTTCTTTTAGCATAATAGGTAGATTCAAGCATCAAGAACAATTTAAGCATAATAGGTAGAAAAAATTAAACGGCCGGTGGGTGCAGTTTTAATTGAATTAATATAACTGGACTAGATCTATACTGGCAGTTTTATAGTCGTTCTACTTTGAACATGATTCTTGATAATTGCAATCTCCTTTGCCATCTGAGGTAATGTGCAATAGGAAAGTGTGCTCAAACAACCCACTACATGAGCACTGAACTTTTAAGTATTTGGTACAATTATATATCACTTATCATTATCGCTTCATTATTCATTATTCACTGGTTGTGTTTCAAGTTAGTTTATTGAAATTACTAGAATTTACTAGAATGCGGATCAGTGCAGATCACTGTGGATGTTCTATAGGCAAACAATATGGTGGCTAACACATGGGACAAACTTGTGTGCTGGGTTTCTAACAGCAGGACAACATAGAGATACTGTCTAAAGACTTCTCTAGAAGCATTCTAAAGTAAAAAGAAGAGAACCTTTATAAGTCTTCATAAGTGCCCAGCTATGCTTGCAAGGTGGTGAAATCAATGATAGGAATATTTTTTAACTGTTATGCTTGTTCCAGTTAAATCTTGAGTCTGGAATGCCCATCATAACCTTCTGAGCATGAAGAAGAGCATCCTTTTCATTCCAGCTAAGGTCGTTGACTTTGAACTCCAGCTTTCTTCTTGCTTCATACATGCACACAGTATTTCATTAGAATAATGCTACCACATTAGATCATTGAGAGATAAATAGCACATGTTGGGCGTAACCAAAAGATGGGTGTGACTGGAGACGTACGCATACATACATACATACATACTTACTTACATACATACAAAAGATTTCTGCTACAATGGGGCTCGCTCAAGCTCACCCTAACAAGATGATTTAATCATTATGGCGATTGATGGTTTTGTGTACAGTAATGTATGTAGGTATCACCAATATAAATCCGCTAAGAAATAAGTTTTTAAAAACTTTTAATGAAATTCACCAATAATAGGAAATTTTGCCAAATATTACTCTTGCCAAAAAATCATCATGTATGGCATTTACAAAATTCAGACTTTAAATAATTTATCTGTCATGGCAATTTTTGTTAGTTCACCTAATTCATGTACTTGATAAGTTGACTCGTATTTAATTGCAATTATTATATTTTATCCAATGACCACACCCATTGTGTTACATTCTTCTAAAATTTCTTTTTTTGTGAATTTAATATTAAAGAATTTTTATTTTTGCTAGATACTACTCCTGTTACGCAAATCTTTTTGGAGGCTACAGATGGAACTCCAAATATTACTTTTTTCGTCACTTGGCCAACGGCTACCTGTGCTAAAGTATATAATGGAACTGTTGAAAAAGACGGTAAACTAAGACAACATTGGTCTGGTCAAAGCACATTCTTTACGTTTGATGTTAAGAAGAGTGACATTAATGATGGTGGTATGTATACAATTGCTGTCCATAGTGTTGGATATGATGGAATGAGTGTTGGTGTTCCTGCCTCTAGAAATATTTCCATTCACAGTGAGTCATATTAAATTGACATATAATATATTGTAACAATTTATCGTAGCACCCGAGTTCACTGTTTCTCCTGTTATTGACTGTATAAATATAAATCTTTCACTCATAATTGAAGTTAGTAAGCTAATTAGTAATACATGTTCATTCACAGATCATGATGTTATTTAATGGGAGGAGGAAGACGCCTCTGTTTCTCACCTTGATGTGGTGTCATGTGTAATATCACTAGCAACTGTTACTCGCTTGTATAATAATACAAGGTCATGTATTGGGAGAAAAATTGATTTTAATATCACAATTGGCGGTTCATATAATTACAATGTAACTCTTACAAACCTTTTTGGCTCGTCATCTATGCTTAATGTTGCTGGTATGTTTATTTGTATCCTGTGGTCATAACTTCATATAGTATTACATTTATGGCATTTTGCTTTTAGATACAAATATATGTATTGAAACGACAGCATCAACACAGCCTACAGTATCAATACAACCTACAGTATCAACACAACCTACAGTATATACACAACCTACAGTATATACACAGCCTACAGCATAGACACACCCTACAGCAACAACTATGCCTGACACT